GTACATTGATCGTCACCAAAAAGTCTCGTTCTTCTTGAGCATACAGGTCTCCCACATTTATTGTGCCAATTCTTGAACCAGGAGCGATGTTTGATCGGTAGTTTCCAGCTTTCAGTGAACCGAACTGCAAACTAGGATGAACACACTCAATTCTAACCTGAAGCTCTTGCACAACAACACTCAAGAGCCCTCCAATGCACTGAGCAAATGCATCCTGAATTGTATTTTCCGCTTCTACAAATGAAAACGTTCCCCCTGAAATCTCAGAGATCGAGTGCATCATCGTAGCATCATGGTCGGTGCCAAAACCAAACGAATGCACTGGTATCTGCAACGCCGTGTTGTTATTACGATGGATTGATACCGGAAGAAGCGACAGATAGTCAGTTTCGGAACGTGAACCATCAATGCCGAAAGTATATGTATCCTGGCCATCAGAAAGTAGCATAATGCTACAAACAGGATTCTTCCACTTCCGGTCTAGTAATACTTTGGTCCCTTTCTTTATACCGTCTATGATGTTTGTTCCACCATTTGAAACCAAAGAATTAATAGCTTGCAAAGCCTGTTGTCGTCCACTCTCGGTCATCCGACAAAGAGGAAGAACGCGTCGTGCTGCAGAGGAGAAGCAAATTACAGAAAGCCGATCCGAGGGGCCAAGGCTCTGTACCACGAAACCCATTGCTCGTTTTAGCAAAGCAAGCTTGGTACCAGTCATGCTCCCACTGACATCAAGCACTGTGACAAGGTCAACTGGAGCACGAGAACGTTGAGAAGGAAATGGTGTTCGACTTTCGCAACAATGCTGCCCGTGATTTGCAAAACTAGCCTTGATATGCACTAATACAGTGAAATTATCATGAAATGCTGATTGAGCAACAGCTGAAACTTCTGGATATGTCTTAACCTCAATTTTCCCAAAGAAACCATCAATAGGATCTACAACAGATGTTCCTCTATCAGGAATGTCTTCTAGGACTTCATCATCATCGAACAGGCCAGGTTCGGGCTCATGAGACAAAGATGCTACCTGTCTAGGCAAATCAATCGATGGGGGGCGAACCCTTCTTAAAACGGTCATCCACGACTCATCTGGTGACCAATCAAGTTGGTTGAATCTCATCATTCTGTTGGGAATGTCTGAAGCTGGGCTCTGGAAAGGAATCTCTTTCCATTTGGCTCTGCAAACTGGGCAAATTTGATTTCCATGCTTAACGTTCGACGTGATGCAATGAAAATGAAACGAGTGGGAGCACTCGGCGGTGAAGATAGCATGGCCCTTCCCCGGCCTCATAGTAGTCAGGCATATCGCACACGTTCTCTGCAATTTGAAAACGACACGAGGATGAGAACAAAAGAACCAAAAACTCCAACTTCAAAATAACAAAAGCTACAGAGCCGCATGTTTAAGATGTAGTTCAGATGATCAAATGATAACATCACACAATATTTATCTTCAAACACGACAACATAGAGAGATGGATATTAAGTCAAGTAGTTAACATCATAACTTGGGCTCGGGTCAAAATGTAGAACGAAGAAATAACTACAAATAACATGAAAAAACGTCTCCCAAGCCCACCGCTAACAGATATTGTCCTCTTTGGGCTTTCCCTTTCGGGTTTCCCCTCAAAGTTTTCAAAACGCATCTGCTAGAGAGAGGTTTCCACACGCTTATAAAGAACGCAAATCTCACATGGTCCTTGAACGGACTACTCCACTTTACCCTCCTCCCCCACATAAATTCATCACAACTCATGACATTGAAACCACAAAGTAAAACAGATCAAAGTGATAAAGAACAGTAGCACAGTGTTTTTCTTTCCCCTTGTTATCTTTTGTGAGGCAATGATTGATGAACAGATAAAGATATTCCAATGATTTTGTTGTTTTAAATATATAATTAGTTTCCTTCTTACAGAGTTCCCTTCACATACTTGAATTTAACACACCAACAGTCTTCAAGTACAAAAAAGAAGCAAACAAAAAACATCAAAACTAATTTTGTTCACAAGAAATTAGGATCAAGAAAGCTTCTGAGCAGAAAACTCCACAAACCCAAGTTCAGAAATCAAATAAAAGAAACAAAAAAAGCTTAGCAACAGTACAAGAACAAGATAAACAGCAGCAGAGAACAAAAAAAACTAGCAAAAGGGGCAAACCCCAAGAACCCAACTAACCTTTGAGGATCTGGTTGAGGATTTGGAGAGCTGGAGAAGGGAATTCGACGAGGTGGGTGTCGCCGGCAGAGAAAGCAAATTCGACGGCGCAGCGCCGTCGGAGAATCTAGCCGCCATGGACGGCAAAGAATCCTCAAGATTTCTAGGGCCATAGAGGCACATATTGAAGCCGAGAGCCACTTTCACCTTCTTCCATGTGGAACCCATGATTGAGTTGAGATGAAAGGGCGGCAAAATCTAAGGTAACCCAAGTGGGTATGAAGAGAGCATACTGGGAAGAGTAATGGAAATGGGTAGAGGAAATTCAGTGCGAAGGGAAGGGGATTTGAGCTTTGTTTTGGTTCTATGGGGCAGAGAGCTTGTAGCTTCCTAGCATCCTTTTTTTGGCAGCTCTAGAGTCCCTTGCAATAAGAACACTTCTATTCTAAATTTTAGGCTAAGCCTATTCTTAATTGAGAATGATTATAAGTTTATAATTAACAATATTATCTCTCATAAAGTCTTTTTGGGAGCTCAAAGCAAAGTTACGAGAGTTTATGTTCAAAGTGGACAATATCATACCATCGTGGAGATTGGTTTGAGGGGACGAAGACAGACTTGGACAGCAACCACCCTAATGATAACGAAGGGAATAGTCGTAGAAGCAATGAAGCTCGTAGTCAAAATCGTGGTTTCTCTTGATGATACGGTTCATCGAGTAAGAGATCAAACAATGACTAAATTCAAACTTTGTTTAAATTATTGAAACTATATTTATAATTTAACCAAAAATAACACCAAATTATGTATTTATTGCTTTGTTTGATTTGAAAAAATAAAATAAAATAAAATAAAATAGGACTGCCAGCTGTATATACAGATTTGTTGAGGTCGTGTGGTCAAAGTTCCACAGCTGTTAATATTATTAAATATGATTTGTTTGATTTAAAAATTTATTTTTATGGGCCAACTTTTGTTCTTTTTAATTATTTATTTTACACATTTAAATCTCTAAAAATTCTACTTTTATAAAATTTAAAATGGCTAGTATTGAGCTCACTAAAAAAAATCTAAATTTAATAGTAGTTTAAGCACGGTTTAAAATAAAAAAAAATTTAATTAAAAGATGTAACGCCCCATGTCTAAGATTTAGAATTCAAATTCGAATTCGACGTCTAATAGCCTTGTCATACTTCTTACGAGTGGATCCAACACCTAATAGGGTCGTCATTCAACTCTAAGTAAAACATACTTAACTATAGGGTTCCTATAATTGAGTTACGGAAAAGGAGGATGCACCTTATTGGTATAAATAGTAATTTTTATTTTTTATCTTCAAGCTTGCTCTCATTTAGATGTGGTCTTAGCTCATTCATTTACCCGTCCTTTACTCAGGTGTCACATACCCACCAGGTCCCACCTGGCTTTAGTTAAAAACTCCCGACCCAATTACATGCAATTCAGGTTTGAAACTCAACCCTTTTTCTTATATGCCTTCCGACCAAAAAAAAGAATGGTCTTTTTGTGGACTGATAAATTAGCATGATACTCACAAGTGGGTCGTTGAATCATAACGTCTCGAAATCAACTTAAACTAAGTAAAAGAAATGATGGGAGTTTGTGAAAAGGAGTTAAAAGCATCCAGTGTGTTGGGTCCTCTGGTTTGTGTCTTGTAATGCAAAAAGAACCACTTTTTCTTCCTCTTTTGCATAATAAACACTTCATGGCCCCATCTCTTCTCAACAGCCCCTTTCAAATTCCATACTGTTCACTCTTTTTCCCAAAAGGGTTTTTTTTCTTCTTTAATATCTTTTTACCCTTAGCTAGAAAAAATTCATTTGGAAAAAGGGTCGGTGGAAAACTTCGACTTTCCAACCTCAGTCAATTATTTTATCATGTATAAGAATCGCTTCTTATACCATTTAAGAAAACACGAGTTTTAGTTAAACACTCTCATATCATCAATACTTTTTGAAAAATAATGTAGAAGATAAGAAAAAGAGGTTCGCTTCTAGAAGTATTACTTTTAAGTAGATCATATAAAAGACTTGTCACTGATGTTAGTTCGTTTATCATGTTGTCTGTAACAAAAATTTAGTAATGCACTACGAGAAAAAGAGTGCCATGTTGTCTGTAACAAAAGGGTTTGTGCTTGCTACAACCACTCCACAACTTAGGAACTGATTTGACTGTAATTTAATGGCAAAATCTTGACTATTGCCCACAACTTTCGGCCAATCCATCTACTAGTTTATGCACTTAGATTAATACCTTGAAAGTTTTTAAAAAGCGTCTAATCCGTCTAATCCATCTACTCCTTTATACACCAACACCTTTTCTTTGAAGGTTTCTAAAACAAGTCCACTGGGAGAGATTTCTACATCTTTGTAAAAAATGTTTCGTTCTCCTCCATCTCTTTTTAGAGTCCAATATCCTTGCTAGCACACTGCCTCGTGTCCACCCAAATCCCATTAAAACTTTTTAAACAGGAAAATTGAAAGATAAAAACGCCTAAACATACACTTGATTGTTTTAAATCAACGGTTAAAAAGAAATTTGGATACAAATTTGTGTTGGATTTCCAAAAGACACCATAAAGATGAGCTTTTCAAAAGAAATTTCTCTTCCATTTTTTATATATATATAATATATATATATATAGATGTTTATTTTCTTGTGTAGGTACTTATCATCAATGCTCTGTTCAATAGTGGGAGGAAATTGAAAATTCCACAATAGGATATTTAGAGAAACATGTCTAACTGGGTTTGACTAGAAAATGTAATTGGTGAACAAGGATATCAAAATTCAATATGGTTATGCAAGATTTAGTCTTATTCCAGTAATGGATTCTAGCCACTTTGCAAAAAGTATCGAGTCGAGATCATAATACAACAGTGCTTTTGGAACATATTGGAGCCACCTTGTCGTACTCGACCAGTAATCAAAATACAGAGCCAAGCATCAAAGCGATTTGTCAATTAAGTTAACCTGTCTACTAAACTGTCTACAATCGAAATGCTTAAGGACTTTTAACAATCTGATCAGTAACACAGTTGAAATCCTATCTTCGGGAATCAAGGTCAATTTTCTTCCCTTCTCATGTAATGCACATTGGGGTCTACTCAAAGATGAGGAAAAAATTATGCAAGAAAAAAGCCAATTTATCTGTTCTAAACTGCCGAATAAGTATCCAAAACCTGACCACCTAACTGGTAGACGTGGGCAAATGGATATTTACATTATACACATTTGAAGTTGAGAGCCATGTATGTATATCTACAATATTTCAAAGGTTTCAGATACGTAATTTTGCCCCTTAGTTATGTAAGCAAGCCCCAAGTTATAAGGATCTCTGGAAGTCAGAAATGTACCTTTTGTCGTGTTGGTTAGTCGTCGTCAGACAAGTAGACAACATCTGAATCTCCAGTGGTATTGACTGCATTAACCTGCGTGCTCCCTGTACTAACTGGCGGGACAGGCTGGGGTGCAGTCAAGGTTACATCTGCTGCTGGCGGAGGAAAATTTTGTGGAAAGTTCACACCAGCACGATTATTCATGTCCATCAGCAAGTCTAGTGCAGACAAGGCCGTATTAGAAAAAGTAGGTAACTGTTCCAAACTATCAGGGCGATAAGATCTATTCAATGGAATGGATTGATGTGGTGCAGCAACAGATGGTCGAGGTGGACGCTGAGGAAATGAGGGAGGGATTGTAGAAGGGTTGCTTGGTCCATGTTGAGTAGAGATACCACGAGGATTGGCTGCTGAAATTGATGATGTAGGTCTGAAGGGTTGCAAATGGGGAGCTGGTGTAGGTCTGAAGGGTTGCAAATGAGGAGCTGGGGCACGAATAACACTACCGACTTGTGGGTTTCCAGTGGGAGAAGAGATGGAGCCAATATAGGGTGGCCTCATAGGACTGCTCGAGAAATGGGTGGACGTATGGTGAACGTGCATCGATGTGGAAGCTGTACTTGGGCTAGAGGAAGGTAAGTTGGTCGACAGATTTGCTGCAGTTGCCATCCTTTGCAAATTAATAGAAGGTGCATTGAATGTATGAGAACTGACTATAGCCGGAGTGAAAGATGGCCGGACTACCAAAGAAGGCCCTGGTAAATTTTGCAGATGAAGTGGCTGAAGCATCAGTGGTGCAAGACTGGGGCCAGAATCTGCGACAAATAATAGTAGAATTTTGAGGACGTCAGAATAGTTGAGCAAATTTACAGACCAAGAAGCTACATTACATGAAAACGATGTAAATATTAGATGGTAATATAGAAAAGAAAGAAAAAATAATTAAAAAGGAACTACATAATTATAGAAGTACGAACTCTAACATTGTTGATATATATGTGGGGAAATTATAGATTAGATTGTATAATACATCCAACAAATAATTAGCTGTTTATAAATATGGTATATCATATATATTGCACAGGTTAATTTGCTACCATTGCTTCAACAGCTTAATATTATGATAACCATTTGTGGATAGCTCACAATATTTATATAAACCCTTTGGTCCAACATTTAACAATTCCATGGATATGGATATTATCTCTTTGAGCTAGCAGCACAAAATATAGTAAAGGTAGCACGATTAGACCCTTCTCTATTAGTAGAAGCAGGATTAATAGACTAATAAAAAATGATAGTAACCAAACAAATAAACAAGGTGATGCTAGCAGATAAGAAATATAAGTGATATCCATCGAACAAATCAAAACCAGCATCGATCACGTACCACATGTCCTAGAATCATTGTATTTCCACCTGAAAGCCTCAGCCAAAATCTTATTCATCAAAACCTTACTGTAATTCACATCAAGGTCCTTCTTCCTAAGATCAAACTCAGTCTCAGACTCTTGCAGCTTAGTTTCATACTTCTTCTGGATTTGAGCAGTAACCTCCTCAATTTCCTTCTCACATTCAGATTTCAGATGCAGTTTCTGCACCAAAGAGAATTTTCTATGCTGAGTGTACGCCAATGTTAATCATCTATACAACAGGCACTTCTCCAAAATAATAATAATAAATTAAAAATAAAATAAAAGTAGAAGAAACAAACAGGTACTTGAACGGTATGGGAGAGAACTGGGAGAAACTAACCCTTTTGGTATGCATATCCATGTTTATATCTATTTCCTTGCGCAATTTTTCCAATTCTTTTTCAAGTGGATCAATGTGCAATAAAGAAGGCGTTTGTGATACTGAAGGCTGCGTTGTTTGCATCAGACCATTACTAATATCAAAATTAGCCGATAGGATTCTTGTGTCCAGAAAGGACATTCTTGTTTCACTGAAGGCAACATTAGGAGTAGAATGTGGTGCAGTACATGTCACAGGTTGTAACAAGACTTCGTCAATGGACTGAACAGGGATTTCAATTGGTTGGTTTGTTGTCTGAGCAAGCTGATAAAAGGAATGGTTTTCCCTATTCATTTGATTTTCCGTTCCACCAACTGAAGATAAATCAGTCTGAGACAAACCAACAGATGAATTCGTTGCTAGTGGCACCATTGGTGTTTGAGGCTCTATCGTTTGTGGTCCCTGGATAGATTGATTGGCAACATATGAAATTGGAGCTTCGGTGTCCCCATTAGTATTCACCATTGCATTGGCTTGCATAATATCATCTATGGACCCAGTGCATGGAGATTGTAGATTCATTTCCTCATGTTCTTCCTGACCATATTGATCAGCAACATATGAAGTTGGAGCTTCAGAATCCCCATTAGTATTAGCTATTTCAGTCGCTTGTATAATGCCATCCATGAACCCAGTAGATGAAGACTCTTGATTGATTTCGTCATGTGCTGCCTGCACAGAGTACATATTCAAAAACAAAATAAGCTATAGGAAGTCGAAAGTGAATTCATGTTGATTCTAAGAAAAAGGAATATGAGTGCATGCCTACAAAGGGCTTTATCTGATTATATCTATATCTATATCTATATCTATATATATATATGAAAGTGAAAAATATTAGAAAGTGTTCTTGTAAATAAATATATCACGGAAACTTAAATACTTACCTGATTAAACAGCAGAGAACAATTGCCTTGGGCAGTAGGTGTAACAGCAAGCTCTAGAGGAGATGAAGTGACAGACAGCTCAAGGGCATGGACATCAGGGTCGGCATTACCAATCGTATCTTCTATCACACAAGGATTGACTGGTTCACTAAGATCCTCACCATCATTCTCACTGTTGCTGCAATCAACCTCAAGTGCTTCACATGAAGCACTTGCATTCATTGCCGATGAAATGTCTATTTCAGATGTTCTTACCATTGATTTAATTGGAATTAATTCTTGAGATGCAGATTGACTAGCAGAGATGTTCTCCCTAACATCTACTAAATTAACAGTCTCACGTAATCTTTCAATCTCACTGGTTGGAATTAATTCTTGAGATGCAGATTGACTAGCAGAGATATTCTCTCTAACATCTACTAAATTAACACTCTCAGGTACCCTTTCAACCTCCCTTATTGGCAAATTCAACCCACAGGGAGATGTTTCTGGATCTGTATAAGCATCCACAAATGAATCGGAATTGCGAAGACTACATGTTCCACTTGGATCTTCATTCCCAGGATTCCTGATGGCCCCATTGCCACCTCCCTCTGCAAAAGGCAGCAAAGGTACTGTAAGAACTCGCTGTGAACCTTCGATAAGATCAACAACTTCAATAAGCTTCTGAGGGGCCTCTTTATCAGAATGGGAGATCTGTTCCTCTGATGTTGGCAGATGTACAGAGGCAACGTCAACGGCACCAACAGAACATCTATGATTCGACCCATCTGTAGAAATCTCTTTATCTAGATTGCTCAATATGACTCCCTCAGGCTCTTTTCCTACATAAGAAGGGTCCTCAGAGGTTAAATTCCTTTCAATGCCATTTGAGCTAGTTATCCTGTTGTGATTGTCAAACTCAGTAGCAGATGGTCCTTGAGAACCCATGGTATCTAAAGCTGCAGTCTCACCATTTTTTATAGTTTGAAGAGAACATTTTTCAACAGCATTACTGCATATGATAGCTTCACAAGAAACAGATCTTGGAATTTCAGATATTCCCTTCCCAGTCCCTGAGACATTATGAAGAGCATCACTCTTACTCTCTTCAGGCAGATGATCACAAACAGTTGCATCAACTCCGAGACCATGGAAAATCTCAGTTACCGGCAAACTGTTCTGGCTCTGCTTAGTCTTATTTAAAATTTGTTTGCTTAATAATTCAACCTGGAGCCAGGATGTCAATGTATCAACCCAATGAGCCTCCATTTCAATCATCTTATTTGTTTCATCATTATGCTCTTCCTCAAGTTTCTTACACCGTATCTCCATCTGACATTTGTACTCTTCAAGCTGTTTTAAATATTCATTTTCTAATATCTGAAGCTTACTATTCCTCGTTAAAAGACTATTATGAAAACAAGAACGAATAACAGCTGACTCCATCTGAAACTGTCTCTCCATCTGTGATTTCTCATCATCACATGTTCCGTCAAATTCATCTCTTTCTTCTTGTTGCTTCTGCTTAAGTTTTTCAAATTTCTTGCGACAAGTTTTCTGTATTCTATTAATACTTGTTACTACAGCTTTCTGGAACTCATTGTCAGACAATACATTGTACGGGGATTCAGAAGCTAATGAAGATTCAGGGACCTTGTAATACTCCAAGTGTTTGAAGAATATTTTCTTGAGACATCTCAATCTTGAATAAAGCAAGTATACTTCTTGTCTATGGCAATCAAAATTAAGATACTTCTTCGCAAGTGCCAATGATTCTTTATGGTCAATTTTGTATTCAAGCATGGAAGCTGCCGTCCAGCACTACAATACACATCCCAAAAAAATAGAAATATTTCAGAAAGTATTGAAGAAAGCATGAACAAAAAGCATAATTAATAATTTAGTTTGTTTATTGACACCAACAAACATGCATGGCTCACAAGTATGTGAGAGATAAAGAAGACTCCCAATTCAATGTTTATCAATTTTATATTCTATAACAATTTTTTAGTATTTTATACTAACTCTACAAGCTGTTGATTTGCCTTGCTCAGAAGACAAGTCACATTCAAAATCCCAATAGATGGCTGTGTATGTGGAATTAAACATCGCTACTAAAAGGACAGCAAACTCAAAGTCACAAGACTTTAGACCTGCATGTAAAAATTTACAAAACTCCACCCTTCAATCAGGCATGCTTGATATAATGAACCCAAGCAGGAAGAATTTCAAGTATATTAATTACTGGGGGGGTGGGGTCGTGGATTTGTGGCAGAGTAAATGGGAGAAAGAAAAATAACCAGAGATAGCTGAAAAGCCTGTAGTAATGTAGTAGTTGCTGGCTCCGTAATGATGTGATGATTATTCATTATATACTCGAAAAACTTTTCAACCCCACGTTCGACATGTTCCTGAATTGAAATAAGACGTGTCAACAGTTGTTACAGAAGAGCTAACATAGAAAAATTGATATCTACAGATAAAATACCAAAAGAAACCCATTCACCACAAAAGCACATTCTCATCCTTTACGAAGTACATTACTTATTCTTGTCAATTCACTTATTAATTCATTAGTCATGTTTTCTTCTTCCTCTTTTTTCTTTTTTTCTTCCATGGAAAACAAAAAATGAAAGGTTACAAAAGAGTATACCAAAAAAAAAAAAAAAAAAAAAAAT